GCGAGAGTCCAGATTTTAGGCCAGTTTGAGTACCTGGATTGGCCAAGGGGTGAGGATAGAAAGTGAGGGTTGGGAGGGACCTTGGGAGGTCACATCTAGTCCAACCCCTGGCTCAAAGCAGGACCAGCCCCAACTACATCATCCCAGCCAAGGCTCTGTTAAGCCAGGCCTTAAAAACAGCAAGGGATGGAGACTCCACCACCTCTCTGGGTAACCTGTTCCAGTGCTTTGCTACCCTCCTCGTGAGAAAGTTTTTCCTAATATCCAACCAAAATCTTCCTTGCTGCAGCTTCAGCCCATTGCTCCTTGCCCTGTCACCTGCCCCCACCGAAACCAGCCCAGCTCCATCCTCTTTGCAACCGCAGGGAGCCAAAGGCTGCTATTAAATCCAATCTCAGTCTTCTCTTCTCCAGACTAATCCTGTGCTACTGTGCCTTCACTGTTCTCTACTTCTTGTGTGTGCCTGGGTGCATATCCCACAGTTCTCTGGGCTGAGTTAACTCCAGGATCAGTGGTGCTCAACCTGTGGCCTGCAGCTGGATGTGGCCCACAAAGCCTATGTGAATGGCTCGTCACCTAACACCATGCTCCTGTCTGAGCTCCCCAGCAGGTCAGCGCAGGCACCAGCTGGAGCCACCGCTCTTGTGCAGCTCTGGAGCGCAGGGGGTAAACGCTGTCACCACCTGTCCCCTCTTTTCCACTGCCACTGAAGGGCTGAGTGGCAGTGGTATTTGTCCCCAGCACTCTGACTCCAGCCAGGGTCTTCACTGACAGCCGGTGAGCTCAGAGCCAACTGTGCATTGGCAATGCTTTTCTATGCAGCCCTCGGCTCCGCTCTGACTTTAAACTCAGGCCTGATTGTACAAAAGAAGGAGCACCACTGCCCTAGGACTCTTTCCTAGTCAACTGCAGCAGCTACATGACTTGCCCCCCCAGGAAAAACTGGGGTAAGATACTGAGGGGACTATCAGCACTCACAGGATTTTTTTCCTGCACCCTCAGTGCAAAACATTGAGTTACAGCAGCACCCAGGCTTTAACCCATCCCTCGCTCAGTAAATGACCTCAGACTTAAAGCACCTCCAAGAATAGGTTACATGTGTGAATGGTAGAGCCTGGGTTCATGGCACAATAAAGAGATCCCCCCCATACTTCTCCCTGAACCTGGATGGAATTCTTCTTTGCGAGGAGGCCACTCCTCGCAATACCTCTGTTTGCTTATGTGATGGGAGCGGGTGGAAAAATCTCTCTCGTCTTCCAACAAGCTCAAGATAAATGCTACATAAAGCATAGCACTGAGAATGACTCAACTATGGGGGGGGGGGGGGGAAATCACTTATCTTACAAAATCCAATAAATCGTAAGGAAAGTCGGTTACGATCCAGGCTGACTCACTTTATAAAAACTCAAGGGCAAACACCGATGGCAATGAGCACATCCCTTCTCCTTCCTGCTCTTTTTACTGCACTAGCTAGATAACACTACCCATTCCAATGCCCCCCGCTCCAAAGCGAACCAGCCCGATAAGAAACCAGGGCATTCACCCTGACACAGTGCAGCATCCAGAAGAGTGCAGGGGAAAAGAAGGTTCCTGTTCTCTATGGCAGACTATGCAACAAGGGCAGCTGTATGGTCCCATGGGGAAAGCACGGGGCTGGGACTCAGGAGACCTTGAGTTATGTTCCTGGCTGTGCTACTGATCTGCTAGGTGACCCTAAGCAAGACGCTTCACCTATCTGTGCCTCAGTTTCTCTGTAAAATGGGGATAATGGCATTTGGTTCCTTTGTAGGGAGAACTTTGAAATCTGCTGGTGAAAAGCACAGCAAGAGATGGTAATCTCTTTAGCTCTCCTAGCGTTTACTACCCTGGTAATAGGAGAAGAAACAGTCAATGGCATTGTTTTAGCAATGAGCAGAACATACTTTGAAAACTCAACAGGCCTTTCCTTTCAACCCAACTCACTTATTCCACCTCCCTCTCTTTCAGAGAAAGTGAGCATTGGCCAGCGACGTCTGCGAAGGCTAAATATTTATTGCTGGCTTAAACTCAATCTCAGCTTCAAGACAGTTTATCCAACTCTTAATGCTATTTAATCTAATGCCTGCATGTGAGAAAAACCACGTGAAGGTGGCAGGCATACCACCTAAATAACGCACAGCCTTCTCCTGGACTCACTGTAGTCCATTTCCAGGATTTTGTCAGAAGGTATGTGACTGGCATGAAGACCTGTCCTGGCTCACTTTAAAATCCTTGCAACTGGGTGGATTCCAAGGCAAAATCAGCCTGACCCTCAGTCAACCTATTCCAGCTTGCTGCAAAACCATATTCAAGTGCTCCCCACTCTCCAAAACACAACCAATGTATGAGAGGCAGAATTAAGATGGGGCCTGGGAAAAAGCAAAACTCATGAGCATCTGGAAGGAGATCAAGGTAGATCTCCATCTCTGCTCCAAATGCTGAGGGAGGAAGATTTCTGTAGTCACCAAATCTGCGTCCTTTCCAGCAGCTGGCTGTCCATGTATGGTCATACGGCCCACTTTAAACTACCTTTGACAGCAGCTCCATTGCGAGTTCAGCTACCAAATGTGCAGCGCTGCATTTGATTCGAGGCAAATTATCAAAGAGGCCCATCCTCAACAAGGACATGACCTTAATAGATCAGATCAAAGCTTCTGTTGTATCTGGTCTGGATATATCCATATCTAGCTTCCTGCAAAGATCCATGCACAATACTAGACTAAGCCACAGACTCGAATACAGCTAGAATTAACTCTGCAATTTTTTTACGGTTTCTATAAGCGAGCAGCTTGCACCAATTCCATTTCCCTGCCCCGGCGCATGTTAATCATAACTTTAGTTATCCTTTAAAAATTTCATTGTGTGATTTGCTTCTACCTCAAAACAGCAGTAAATTCCTCATGTCCTTTATAAGCAGTTTCCTTTGATTTGTTCAAATATACCTGCCCTTTAAAGGCCCTGTTCTTTTCAGCTTCTGCATTTGCCCTCATCAAACACCACTTTTCCCAGGGAGTGGAGAATATGGGGGGGCAAGGGCACCAAAAGCCAGCTATGTGCAAGAAACCACCACAGGCATTCACATGGGTGAGTCATCTCCTCTGAAGACAGATGAACAAGTATGCTCTGTTCTGAACCAGAGCGAAGCTGCAGTTATGATCTGATTTTGCTGCATGTGCTCGTGACAGCATACAGAAATATTTCCTCAGGGGATCTTCCCATGGGACTTAACTCTGACACTTATTCCCACAATGCATGCTTTTTTAAGAACACTATTTGTTAATAAATTGGTGGGAATTTTACTACATGTATGACTAAGAGAGGGTGCTGACTCATCCGGGTGCTGGTATCTACCTTCATTAACATTATGGGAACCTCACACACACACACTTTAACCCAAATGAAGTAGTAGTCACCACTGGTTATACCTTCCCCACTCCTCACTGAATTAAATGCAGAGAGGAGTGAAAAACTGCAGCGGGAAGAAGTTAAACTGTAGCTTGATCAGACCCAAGGTATTCCCTAAGTTATTGCTATTACAGTGCAATAACTTAAAACAAAATTGAGTTTTGGATGGGTCAAAACTTACACTTCAAGCTTGAGTTCAAACACTGACCACCTGGTTAGTTTTAATCTAGCAACAAAGTCTCCAATTTATAGGTGGGGGAGGAAAAAAGAAAAAAGATCATTAGCTAAGCTTGTCAGGTGTACACCCAGCTGGTTGACATTTCTCTATTTAGGTTTAACATGCTAAATTTGGAATGTCATGTCTTACAGATCCCCAAATTAATCTGAACTTTGTTCACAATATCAACGGGCGGGACCCTATTAATATGGGGGAAAATTGGGACCCCTTCCAGCATCACAATAGCCTCATCTCACCAGCATGCCACTACAATGACATACGAATGATATATCTTGCAGAGAAAGAGAAGTGCACACAACCGTGTGGAAAGGAAAAGGCACAGTGCAACAGTAGGGGGAGAACAGAGCCTCCAGATTTGAAGCCAAGGAGGAATGGGAAACGTGGGGCCTGCACACAGCTGACATGGGGAAGAGTGGACAACCTGATATACGGTAGAGGTTTAGAGGCATGGGCACAGGTTTAGGCCTGGGGAAAGAACTGGGGACATAAACCCTGCAAACACAGTGGACAGAGGGAGTTTCGGGGAACCCCCAAGATAGAGGGGGGAGAAGAGAGCAGTGCACAGGGGAGTTGCAGGGGACAGGGCATGGAAAGCAAGAGAGCCAAGGTGCCTGTCATCAGCTTAGCCTGCAGCAGGCAACCTCCTGGCTAATGTAACCAGCACTCTACTGGGTAGCTCTCTGCATCTGTCCCATTTCATTATGAGGAGGAAAACAAATGCTATTTTGTTTTGTTTTTTTTCCATTTATAAAGAGCTTCCCTGCCTTCTCTAGTGGCACGCACTTGCCAAACCTCATCTCTCTGAATTCTGGGTTATGTGAAAAACACAAACATGCTACGTACGTGGATACCTTATACGCGTTTAAAACCCCTGCGGGAAATAAATTCTAGCCCTTTACTGCTCTAGCTCAGAAATGCATGGACTACAGGAACGTACCTGTTTCCCACACTCCCTGGTTGCTGTGGGTAACCAGCACAGACATGCCTTATCCAGTGCTCAAAAATACCTACACTGACAACCAAAGCAATGCAAAGATCTCAGTCCTCCTAGGACAATACCTTCTGTCAGCTTTAGCTTGCAGGGCTCAGTGCAGCACAGATGGCATTGAACAGTTGGCTGGAAACACAAAAAAACCCACCTTTTCCCACAGTACAGTACAGTATAGTACACTGTGTCCTTACACAAAGGTACTGCATAGCACGATAGGTCAGGGCAAGCTCAGGATCAAGTCAGCATGGTCCCGAGGAGAAGCTATGCTTCAATACAGCTTGGTAGTTTATTACAAGAAATCGGAGTAAGGGTTAGAAAAGATCTCAAACATCATCTGTCACCTCTCACCTGATGCCAGAGGCCGGATCCACTCTTTGCTGTTTAGGTCAAGTCTCCAGAGGTCATTGAATGCAGCGTTGCAACTGCTTTGCGTGCAGCCACCAAACACATACATTGACTGATTAGCGTCATAGTAGCATGCACCTAGAAGAGGAAAGCAGAAAAACACCATTACAATCAACTCCCATGCTCCCAAATATAAAATGGAGCCTCAAATGAGGGGCAGGAACTGCACCAAAAAACACATTATAGTCCTTTTAATAAAGGCTGACTAGGGTAGCGTTACCTCAACTGGCATAACCTGAGCAAGTTGAATCTAAGGTGATTATCCAGTTAACTGGACCTGTTCCTAAAAGTGCAGAGAAAGCTGTCATCTCCAAAGCTCACAGTTAATTAGATTAGCTGTGACTAACATACTGAACAGGCTTACTTTTTCTAAGCTACTCCATGTTGTTTCTGTAGCTGTCAAATGTTACTAAGGTACACGCCTGTCCCGGGGAAAAGGCGAGGAACCCACGTCCTTAGTTTCCAAGACTGGTAGCGATGAATTTCGTGCCTTCTTATCTCGTCTTATCTTATCCTTCCCATTTTATTAAGTCAAATAAACCAGCTCATTAAAGTAGCTTATATGTTATGTTAAATATTTGCCCCACGTATTTTAGGAGAAAGAGACTTAGGTAAGTGCAGGGAAGACTTCCAAATACAGCTATATTTAACACCACCTAACCCCAAATTTGCAATGCTAACAGTAGGGACTAAGAGAACACTTGATATGTGCAATGTTATGTTAACGGATATGCAGTAAACTACAAACACAACAAGGAGGTAAATGTGAAACTGTCAAGGGCATTGAAGAAAACTCAGATTCTTATATAAAAACAAAGGATCTTTGGTGCTCAAGTTCCTCTAGTCTTTTTATCCCACTGTACCATCACCATGGGATCCATACCTTTGACAATTAACACAAAAACATGTGGAGCAGATAGAAATTAAGTAGCTTACATCCGGTCTTAAAAGCACTATTTTTTTTTTTATTTGACCCTCTTAGAATCTGAAGATTTTCAAACCTCTACCCTATCCGGACAGAACAGGATACTAGCAGTACTTTCTTCCCTCCTTGAATCCTGCATTTCCTCTTAGTTATAATTTCTTTTAGTACAATGCCGCAATTCTCAACCAGGGTGCGGGGCACCCTGAAGTGCCTTACGAGCGTCACCTGTTGGGCTCCAAGTTCTTTGCAACAGAAAAATTGCTCTATTATTTTTCCATTGTCGAAAAACAAGAGAAAACTAAGAGCTGGCACTTTCCAAAATCTAACAAGGGGTGTCTTGGGTCCAACGAGGCTGAGAATCATTGGTATAGTGCCACTGTTCCTCTTTCTAGAGTTACCCAATAACTGCAGCGTAGCAAGGACATTTTCCATACTTTGTCTAACCCAGGCAGAGATTGGGATCCGAATGACAGCTAATAGCGTAAGGTCCTCTAGCCAAGACAAAGGTCAGGGTAAGGCCAGGCGAGGAAGGCAACTGGAAGGGTTAGCTGAGCTTTGACAGAGACTATGCACCTGCTGTCTGTAACCTGACTTTACAGTCCGGGGAGGGGGGAGTCTTTTCAGAGCCTTGGCTATTGCAAAAGATCAGGTAACAGCTGCCAGCCAGCTGCCAAGCTGTGCAAGGGAGAAGGATTCTCCTATTTTGACAACAGACCTTTCTATAGATATTCATGAC